GCACGGTCAAATCCAACCGAGTCGAAGTCATTTCGAGACCGTTGCAGAGCTCGATATGAGTCACTCACCGGATGGAGAAAACACACAAGGTCGGAAAAGCCGGACTCGTAACGGATTATACCAAGCCGTCGACCGGATATCTCGCCCAAACGTTGATCTTTCTCAACCACTTCAGGCCTATGTAGGCGTTAATTACAGGATCCACGATGTAATTAATTTATCCTACCGTATTTTTACCCTTAATCAGAATGTATTAAAAAGGGGGGAAGACCCCATAAAGAGCGGGATCGCGAAAAACCATTACCTACGGTACCATCTCTCTCAATTCTTTGTACGCTATCAAGCACAATTGTCTAAGCAATATATATTTCTGCCGATTATTTACTTTTAGCAGCCAATTGTTGAGTCTTTATCTTTTAAATTTCCTCAATCCAAAAACCTTTTGTATCTTTTAGTTCACGGATCCTTAAAACCCCATATAAATTCAATTGTTATCCGGATTCCAGGGTAACACAGTATCTCAATCATATCAAATGAAACTAGAAAAAAATGCAATTTTTTTACCGGTCAATTTGATAGTATCTAGAGTGATCGAGGTATTAATTTATTTATAATATTATTGGTCATTCAAACTAGAACAACAATATAATTTTTCTGTTTAAATTCTTAATAATTAAAATCACGATTTTATTATTTCAAAGAACCAAAGAATACTTTTTCATAAACTATTTGGGAATAATATTAATTATTTTATTATTTTAAATTTGAATAGTAACAGAAGAAAAAAAATAATACATTAACACACTGATTATACTAAAAGAATAAAACTATTATATCATTCAATTTAAAAAATAAGAAAAAAACATAACGAACTTATTTTTTCAACTGACTTTTTTAATTACTATTTAATAATAATTATTTTAAGGCTTAGTGATGCAAAATTTTTTAAAGAAAAAGGCCCTATGTTAGAAATAATTTAAATTCTACTTGAGTTATTATCTAATCATGTATAATAAACATTAAACTCGACAAGTGTTTTCAAAGTGATTGGCATAGTAATACGATTTCATTAAAATAAAAATGCCACATAATGCAAAAAGATAAATAACAATATACAATGTTAATCGTGGTTCTATACGTCATTTACACAAAAGCTTATCTCTTTCTTTCTTTCCCTAAAGGCGTAGTAAGTGTGTAATTAACAATAGACCAAGAAATATTAAAAGGATGAAAACAAGAAGAAGAAAAAGAAAATCAAACAATTGGGCCCGTGCTCGCCGGCGCTACTCACGTCCTAATACTATATCACTATATATATATATAATATATATATATATATATTATTTTGAGAGCAGCATCTATATAATGTCATTTTCCCGAAACAATATAAAACCCAGTTGAAAGGAGTGGCATTACTTCCACTAAGGGCCTAAATCTCGATCAAAGAATCTTAGGCCCACTAACGGCCCACACATTAAAACAAATTCCAAAGTACGTGGGGAAAAACTTGTAGAAATTGCACGGGGCGTTCCTATTTGGTCGCCCCCATTTTAACCCTATACCCATTTTTTTTTAAAATTTTTTAACTTGTACCCACATTTTCTAAAAAACTTCAGCTCCCTTTCTACGCTGCGTTGCTTACCTCTCCTTTTGTCCTTGCTGCGTTGCTTACCTCTTCCTTTGTCCTTGCTGCTGCTTTCCTCCACTGCGCGTTGCTTACTTTCTCCTCACAGAATGCATCTTCTTCTTTTTCTTTTGCCTTGTAGAATATTACAGTTGTGATAATGTAGTAAATTGAAGGTGTACGTGTCGTAATTGTGGGGAAATAATTAGTAGTTAATTAAATAGAACTATAGAGCTGAAGTTATGTGAAAAGAGTGTTATTTGGGGTAGTAAACATACAATGAACTAAATAACTTCAGCTCTATAGCTGAAGTTTTCCGGTTACAAAGACAAAAACTTCAGCTCTAGAAGTAGTTGAAGTTTACCCGATTACTAAACAAAACTTATAAATAAACTTCAGCTCTAGAGCTGAAGTTTTTATTTTATAACTGGCAAACTTCAGCTCTAGAGCTGAAGTTTCCGGTTACTAAACAAAAACTTATAAAATAAAATTTCAGCTCTAGAGCTGAAGTTCGCGAGTTACAAAACAAAAACTTCAGCTCTAGAGCTGAACTTCAGGCCCGGCTACTAAAATGCTGAAGTTTTGTGTGATTGCCTTTGCTACTTCAGCCCCGCATGCTGAAGTTATGTGAAAAAGCGGGTACGCTTGCAATTTTTTTTTGCAAAGCGGGCACAGGTTAAAATGTGGCACAAAAAGCGGGTATAGATGCAAATGCCCCGAAAAACTTGGGGCAAATCCCAAAAACGGGCTTCTTACACTTTTAGCGTGAAAATAGCACGGGCTAGCCAGTTTTCGGATTGGTAATTAAAAAATAGCCAATTGTAAAGTCATTGAAGAATAGCCACTATTTTGCTGCAACACGGAAAGTTCCAGTATAATATAATGGAGATTGGTACCTGTGTATGAACTTCCAGCATATTATGCTGGAACTCCAGCACACGGAAAGTTCCAGCATAATATACTGGAGATTGGAGCACCTGTGTATGAACTTCCGGCATGTTATGTTGAAACTCCATTATATTATGCTGGAAGTCCAAATGTAAAAAAGTCGAACTCCAATATTTTATGCTGGAATATTTTTCGGATTTTGAACAGTGTTTTCGTCCGGATTTATATTTACATGAAAAGTGGCTAAATTTCGATTACTTTTGAAACTATGGCTATTTTTCAATTACCACTTGTAAATCTGACTATTTTTGAATTTCACCCACTTTTAGCCCGCGCCATCAACTATTTAAATTCGGCAACCAAAAAAATGTATAACATTTGTATAATTTTTGTATATTACATACAAAATATATATATATATATATATATATATATATATATATATATATATATATATTCGGCTATTATTTTGAAAGCGGCTATGCAGTGTCATTTTTCCAAAAACTTACATAACAAAAATCATATATATATATATTCGGCTATTATTTTGAAAGCGGCTATGCAGTGTCATTTTTCCAAAAACTTACATAACAAAAATCAGCTTTCTAAAAATAAAAAGTAAGAAAGAAATTTCATTTACTTTATTAGGAATTTGAAGACGAAATAGTCCACCGTGCCCAGAAGAATAGAAGAAAATTAGACAAAAGGATTAAATGTTCAAGAAAGGATGTATTATCTTTTTTGCTAGAAAAAAATGCTTCTATAATATTGTTATTGTTGGGGAGATAGCTGCAATTTTCAGAAAAGAAATAACAATTGTTAGTTTATCTTAATAATTCAAGACTTAATCAATTTAGTCAACCTCAAAGCAAAAAAATTAATTTAACTTTCAAAGGTGATGACTAAAGTGTATATTACCTAATCCGCTATTGGAAAAATTACAAGTTAAGATATTATCTTACGAATGTTAACTACATAAATGAGATTTCAAGGGTCTTATTATAAGCCCTTCAATTTTAATTTACCAAATTGACTAGGAATTATCAGTATCTTCCTTCTTAGTTCTTTTTTATCACTTTAAATTCAATGCTCGAATTGTGAACGGATCAATTTTATTGTATCCCATTTATAGTCTTATACATTCATAAATATGTAAGAACTAAGTTCTAAATCAAGTTTGAGAATCGGCCTATCCAACTTATATTAAGCTTTTTCAGACAGTCGTCCGGATTCACTATTTACTTTTTATAGCCCGTATATATAAATTATATAGTGATTATACATGGTTATTATAATACATGAATTATACATATATTATAAATCTGTGGGCTTCATTAAATGATTCAGTGGAGCGGCCTATTTAGGTTAATTTTTTTTTTTTTAAATTCAAGTTTTGAATGACTTTTGGTTAGATAGTTCACCTAAACGATTGCACGAGAATTCTTCTCTTATTGTTATGACTTATGCCTACTCTTGTAGCACAAAATCCTCAACTATCTATCAGTATTATTTAAGCATGTCAAATTCATTTCACTTTCTTTTTGCCTTGTTTTACGTCATCATGCACTAAGTTCCTACGAAATATAAGTAGAAATTAAGGCACTATGATAGGCAGTTGAGCAAGTATTTAATTACAAAATGATATAGGTGAAAGGGCTAGTAGAGGCGAATTCAAAATTTAAAGTTTATGAATTTTTACGGCGATCTCAAGTTAATATAAAAAGATGGATAACTTGATTTACAGTTAAGTATTTATAGGTTTAGGGTTAAGGTTAATTTATTGTAGTAGAGACTAGGGAAGGCAGTATAATTACTTACTGGAGTATTCTTTCAGTTTATTTTTTGTCTTGTTATGATAAGAATTGTTGGTGTAATTGGCTTGACTCTTATATTTTATGTGATTTGTGTTGGCTTGAATCTTGTTATGATATTAGTTGTTGTTGTAATTGGCTTGACTCATCTGTTGTACTTCTTGTTGTCAAATGATGCAGTTTTATATGATTTAAAAGCTTAAAACTGTTAGAGATTACAGTAACTTGAAAATTTATTATTAAGCTTTTAATAACACATAATTACCTTTAGAAATAGTGTGTGTTGTAAGAATACTAAGATCCCTAAACACTTTGACAAACTATTTGTAATCTTCTAAAAAAAAAAAGAATTACTCCAGCATGTTTGAGCACGTGTATTAATTCCTAACATGAAATGTGCGCTTCTTTTCTTGCAGGATCCATTGTTCTTGAAAAATATGTCACATAATGTCATGTCTTATTTTACAACATATTATCTCGTGAAAAATCATAAATATCATTTTGTGTTACCTCTCTTAATACCAGAGGTGAACGTATATATACCGAAGGACGATCAGTCGAACAATTATATTGTATTTATAAAATTAAATACTATGACTTTTTATACATGTATATTAATTATTGAATACTCTTAGCCTAATTTCTGACTTCGTCATTGCAGCTAATACACCAATATATATTAACGTGATACAAATATATAGTCACAAACAAATTAGACTGGCAATACACTTTGTTGATTCAAATGATATAATTTATGTAATGCTAAAGAAAGATATTGGAAAAAGAAAACAGACATATATAAATGAAGACCTGAAGCACATACATATTCTACAGTTTATCACATTGTGTTGGTACAAATGATAAAGTCTCCTTATTAAGATCATGAATCACAAGCATATTTTGTTGCTGTACATTTCCAAATATGGACATTCCAGTTGAACCTCCCATGGCCAAACAAGCAACTCCCATACTTGAATCAGCAATCATGTAATTGTCAGCAGGCAAATCCAAGTCTGCACCTTCAAAATGGAAAACCAATTTGGGAACCTCTATATTGTTTGTGTTTGAAGGCAAAGTGAAGCATAAATCCAGTCCTGTTGAGCTGGAGTCATCCACCGGAAGGTTTACCTGCGGTTAATTTCACATACAGCAACGTCATATATTATAACAGTAAAGTCACATAACTAATTTTGTCCCTCTTTTTAAAACTCACTATAACGATAAAACCTACCTATTAAAGTGACTTTCGGTTATGATGAGTAATTTTTTGTAATTTTACTGTTATAGTTGGTAAAGTTCAATTACTTTAATATAAAAAAGCAATTTTAGTTATAGCTTGACTATTTAGTGATACAGACCGGACTTTTACCATGGGGATACAGAATATAAAAGAAAAATATGAAAAAAGTCGAGGGGATTCAACATTTAATATATACATAAATAATTTGACTTTATATAAATAACGTAATCTTCCGACAAAGGAAGTTTGGACCCCGTCTGTCCCTTGTACTATTATATATAATGAGTAAAATTCAGTATTTATACGCGAAATTTACCAATTTACCTGTGAAGAGAACTCTTTCTTGAGAAGTTTAAATGCACTTTCTTCTAAGTATGTTATGGTTGTCCCAGAGTCTATTATTACTCCTCCAGTGCCATCTTGGTTGAGTGAAAATGTGGATTTCTTGATAGGCAATCGAGTATCTCCCACAGATATTCCTTCTAAGGAAAGATAATAAAAAGATGGTTGAGAAGGATTTTTCACTAATGGAGTTGTGATAATATTGGAATAATCATCATTTGATATGGTTCCCATAAGTAATGTGCTGCTAATTTTGCTATTAGCATCATCATTAATTGAGGTTAAGCAATAGGAAAATTTAGGCATTTGGAGTTGAGAAACAAGTGATAATGGACCTCTCCCTAGCCCAACTAGACCTGCACCTTGACTAAATCCACTGCCTTGATTGTCATTTCCACATCCAAATGCAACTTTTGGGATGGAATTTTTGCCAAAAGTGAATGTTTCACTAGCTAAAAAACCTTCACTTGATGAATAATCACCATATGTGTACATATATTCACAATTACTATCCCCACAAGATGACATTGGCAATGCTTCACAAAGTTTGTTAGAACATGGAATCTTGGAAAAAGTGGATGATTTTGATGGATCAAAAATAGGTGTGGATTGATCAAAACACTCTTTACAAGGCTTGCATTGAGTCCAAATTAAATCACTTCCTGTATCCATTATAGCATTATAGGTTTCACTTGGACTGCCAATGGATATTTGCATGAGAAACTCACCATTTCCTGCATGGATTGTAGACTTTACAATGTCAGAGTCATCTTTGGTTGTTGTTGCTACCAAATTATTAGCCATTAGGTTTAGCCTTTGAAGTCTTGATTTCCCTCGTGCCATCGCGCGTTGTAAACGCTCGAATTTGGTGAAATTCCCACCTGAATCAACATGTTTTAGACTCACCTTGAATCCCTTTTGGTTGTTGATTAGAGCATGCCTTGATGTTGAATTCACTAACACAATATTAACAAACAAGACTGATAAAGAAAGAAACAAGATGAAATTGGCAAAGTTTGATGAAGCCATGTTGCTAATCCTCTCGTACTAGGGTTGACTACTCCTCGCAATTCTCCCTTTAACACCAATGGCAGATAAGAACTGAACTGTCTCACGACGTTCAAATCCTAACGAAGATTAAATATGATGGAACTTTTCAGTGAATATATGTGCATTTCCAGGAAGTTGATGGAGGAAAGGTCTCAAGGAATAAAAGAATGCATCAAACACTTAAAAAGAGGAATCAAAAGAGAGCATTGTAAAAAATGGAGAAAAAGTTGGAATTCAAGTTAGACAGTACTAAACTTGAGCCATTTCAACATCAAGGGAAAGTGAGATATCAACTTAATATCACACCAATGGATGGTTGTTGGGGATGACAAGAAAATGGGATGAAGTGTCAGATATTCATTTCTGTTTTAATAATTTAAAGAATTCACCTAAATAGCTGCTCAAAATTAATAACCGGTTAAAGTAAAAATAGATGGTTGATGTATAATCATGTATGATATATATCGTGCATAATCAATCTATAATCTATATATACTGGCTAGAAAAAGTAAACAGTGAATCCATCCGGCTATTAGGTTAAGATTCATTTTAATTTTATGTGGACAAGGTTATGATTAGCCGGCAATGTAGTTCTCTTTTATCATAATAGAGTTCTCTTATTTATTACGTAGTAATAATTCTTAAAAGTTATTTAACCTTCTCTTTGAAGGAGGTTTTTAAATGGATTAGGATTCAAGACCTAGGGTTGCTTTAGCAAGTCAGAGAAACATAAATAGGGTACGAACTCAGTAGATTATTTAGGATTTATTAGGTAAGAATAACTTTTTCTCATTAATAGCAAATGTAGTAAACATAAAATTTCCTTCTAATAAATGGGTGGATAGGAAAAATAAATGCTAGTTAGTGTTTGTTCCTAAATTTTGCGTTACCAATTTCGGTGGCACATCTTAATTCTTAACCATTGGCCTGATTGGCTTGAGTTAGTAATGAATATAACATCAGACCATTTAACCTACCACCTTGAAAATAAAAGGGTCCGAATGATAAGAATGAATAACAAAAGACGAATAATAGATGTTTTCTTCTTCTTTTTTGCTTCTCGTCAATTAATGAGATGATCTTCTTAAAAGAAAGTTAGAGAAAGTTGGTGGACTAACTCTTTATTAATGATAATATAATAAATCTTCGAGAAAAGTGGGGTCGGGGTTCTC